TTACTAATGGAAAACACTGTTACAAAACCGATCACCACAATTGTACTCCATCCTTTCCAGACATTAAAACATTGACCTGAGTCAATGCCGCAAAATAATATGTGACTTAGTCCAAATACTACGATCGCTCTTATGGAATTTAGTAATCCCGTGGAAACATTGCCGAGCCTCTTCATTAGCCAGTAATAAGCAAAGTTATGAACAAATGATGCTACTATAAGCACCAAATATGTCAAAACAATAATAAAGTCGCTAGCATGAGGAACTTTCTTGGCCATTTCTTGAGTGACTAGTTTATCCCAATTAGGTATGGTGTAGAGAGTAATATACATCAAAGATAATCCGGTACAGCCACTTCCCACGAGAAAGCATGCTTTCTCAGGATTCAGTGGCAGTGTATTTGGAGTTCGGATCGACACCAATTGGTCAGTAACAACATATACGCAGGCGTATCCGAATGTTGCAATCGACGTCAAAAGCATTCCAAACATCGTTGAGGACATGTTAAAGGAATGAAGCAGGGCTGGGCCAGTTGATGTGGCTGGAGGTGGCGCTTCATGATCAGAATCCTGAGAGACTCCTAAGGCACTAAGTGCAAGTCCGAAGAATACACCGATAATAGATAATGATTGCAACAAAGAAAGTTTCCGTCCAAGAAAAAGAAATGAAAGTACGGCACACCACACAACCACAGAACTGTAAATTACTTGAAACATCTTTTTTTTCGAGAAGGTCAAGTAAGAACGCGAAAAATAACTTGCTCATTAATCAGTAGACTATACGTACTCCACTTCCAACATAGAAAAAGCCTATCGTTAACGTGAAATTTGCTATTATGTCCAGAAGCGAGGCGGCAAAGATAAATTTATAGTTTATAAATTCCTTAAGCTCTGATAGTTTGGTTGAGCCTAACATTGACGCGTCGTCCGCCAAAGTTTCCTCATCAGCAACATTTGATATTAGCTGATAATCGTTCTGCGATCGCGTTTTCTGATGGGAAGAGATGGTTGTAATTATTTGATTGTTTTCTATGGAAATTATATCCGCAAAAGGACATTATGAATTACAACCTTATGGTCTATATCCAGCAGGTCGAATTCCAGTTCGTTCGATCCCTCAATGATAACTCTACGTCTTTTCCTCTTTGCCCACCATCCGGGAAGAAGTAAGAACCCAACTGACGCCATACCCACATATTGTGCGGTGTTTGTAAGAAGGCTAAAAGTGACACGTAACACATACATACTGTTAGATTGTGAAAAATGACGAAGCCACGGGGATGTTGAAAATACCTTGTCCCAGCTAAATAATGAAAGGAGATTAGAAATCTTTTATTAAATATGCTAACCTCAAGATTGCATTACTTACTGGCAGCTCCTTGATAATATAAGTATTGTGCGGCAATGGATTGATAAAAGCCGGTAAACAGGAATAATGCCTGGTGGAAGACGACTGCAAAAATAGAAGAACCTTTT